ACTGAAAACCAGCAATAAGTGAACTATTTACAAGGTCATCATCAGGGTAAGAAAATGCCGTCCGTAAATTGCATATTTCATATCCTTAGGTAATTCCCGACGGGAAAAGTTTCGTAACATAGGAGTTAATATCGTCTGTTCAAGCTAGGCCTCAATTGCTGAATCATATAAACCTTTAAAAATTTGTAGGTCTAATCATAGGCAGGATTCTAAAGGTCTGAAGGGGTGAGGGACATCTCTGACGGCCATTCGACGGTCCGTCTATATTTGGGTACCTTATTTAGGAGAGTATTACCCCTACCCACCCACCCACGGGAATATATCATGTAGTGTGACAACTTTTTTCACCCAAGCTATGTATAACTAAGTGTTCTCATATCATGACGAGAGATTTTGCTTCTAAAGCTGCTATTACGTACTTCTAGGCTAACCTAACACTTTGAAAGTGTGTGGCCTACTATTTATCCATATTTATAAATCTCACACAAACGTAACCTGAGATCTGGCGTTATCAATTTTTTTTTTTTTTGCTTCCTTGCTTCTTTGGCTCCCGAAAACAGATTACAGAGATAAAAGGAGAGGGCATGATCGCAGGCTAACACAAACGGACCTGTTCTGCTTTCATGTGTTTTAGCCTGACTGCAGGGGAACCTGCACAAGGCAAAGTTCAAATTAGGTCCTTTATGGGAGCTTTTTATAACAGCAGCTGCGAGTACGAGAATTTTAATGAAAAGGGACACTGGCTTTTTATTATAATTAGGGAACGCATGGCCTTAAAAGCTCTTCATAACGAAGTAGGCATGTGAAAGTTTACTTTCCTTGAGCTTTAATGTGCTTCAAGTGCTTCAAAATCAACATTTCCTATTTTTAACCTACCGTGAAATATCCTTTGGAATCCTTCACCCAACCGATAACAACATCACTGCCGACCATCATGCCGTTACCTGAAGAGAAACCGAACCCGACCCATCCAGTAGTTGTCGCCTCAACAGCGAACGATATGGTCTCCTTGTCCCAGTCAACTGTCCAATACAATTTCATTAGTTCCGCAGGATCCAACACCGCGTGATGGGCATATTCAGATGAGAGGTCAGCGATGCTTATGGAAAGTAAGGCCGAAAAGGCAACTAGCAGCGCAAGGGACATTCTTTCAGGTGCTCTATCTCGTAATTGAAATGTTCAAATTACTGTCATGCGTGTGAAGTTGACGCATGTATGAAAACAAAACCATGCATAGTGATCAACGTCACGCGATGTTTCACTCAGCGACTGAGCATCTTTTAGCTTAAAAATGGTCATTCAATTTACAATAGAAACTCCCTCAAGCTTTTATATTACACTCCGTTTCAGTCTTTCTATTTAGTAAAGAACAAGTGTTTCACCCTTGGCAGAGGGAAAAACTGGCATGCCGAAATCAAGATGTAAAAATGCAGATTAGTTAATGCCAAACAAAGAAATGGACAAATGGCATCTGGGGTACATTTCTGCAAGACTAGTCAATTTTTATCATTTACATCAATGAAAATTTCTTTCATTAGTTAATTTTGCAAACTTTATTATCGTTACAGCATGTGGTAGCATTTTTTTTCTACTTACTTCAGTAAAAGGAATATAAGTTACAATGAAGTTAACACATTTTTATAACATCTTATAATAGTCCTGGCGACCTATGACGTCAACCAAAATGGCTGCCATATTTGCCTCCATTTTGTATTTTAGTGAAAAAAACAGCTAAATATCTTAACGACTAAAGTATGTTATAGTTAAAAACTGTCTCGATCTCATGCTACTTTTAAGTTATGCGTCAAATCTGGTTCTCAGAGAAGCCCCTGGTCACTACTGAAGGTAAGAGATTCTAGTTCAAAGATGTCAGTTGAAAACATCGAAGAAAAACCTTTGGGTCGTGGTATCTCCCGTCCCGCTTGTGCAACCTTGTTCCTAGGGTTCTATCCACCCGTCCCTACGGGACGATAGAGAACCTGGGAACGAGGTTGCTTAATGTGCACTCGACGCTGGGAAGTCTTTCTGTACTAAGAATTGTCTGTCCTTCTTTCAAGTAATAATTATTTAAATTAATATGTGAATTGGTCTTGTCTTTAGGAAAAACTAATAAATAAGTCATCGTGTTGAAAATCTTTTTCTAACCTATGAAAAGCTATTCAATTAGTTTTACTGATTTGTGGGGAATAAACGAATCCGTTTTATTGACCCACACTGACAACAAAGTCACTTCCGTTTCCAATTAAAACTGTTTCATGGCTTCCTTTTTTGCAAAGAGTAAATGATAATGGCTTATATCTTCTTTGATTTTAATTTATCTACAATGAAGCATCCCAGATATCATAGCGATACCACAGTTCCTCTACCAGGTCTTTTACTTGACATGCGTTTAGTCTCACTTCAGGATCTTGTTCAATGCACAAATGCATCACCTGTTGAAGCTAAAAAAAGAAATGTATAAGTGAATTTGAAAAAATGAAAGAAAAAAATGTTACTATAAACACCTATATTTACATTATGGCCAACTAAATTAAATGTTTGCTTGCTCTTCTTAAATAGCATTCTTAGTTTGTTAGCCTGTGGTATGATGTAGAATTTAAAGGCTACTGAATTATGCGTAAACGTGATGTACAGTAAAGATTGGAAACCATGGTGCAAACAAAAAAAATTTACCATGTCACAAGTAAATTTTATTTTTGCTACTAATGGCAGCACTTTTACAGTCATCATTTATAAGAAACAGTGTTAAGAATTGATCTGATCTTGTTGTACTGCTACAACAAGCTACAACTTACTGCTACGAGAGAACACCACCACTACTGATAAAGCTGCTACTGCGACTAGTTACCACTCTTACAACTGCTGTTTTTCTGCAAAACTATATATTAAAGCATAAGGTTCTTCAGGAATCACTCCAATGGACTTTAGTCAAGGTTCTCAGCTGTTTCGATCCTACACTGATGTCTAGCCTCCCAGACAAGGCTCTGTAAACCTCAATGCAAGTGCATACCATATCACATAAGCAAGGGTCACGTGAGAAAGAGGTATATTTCAAAATTTCAACAATCGCTCTATGTATATGTTGTAGTTAATTTTCTATCTCAGTTAATTTTTATTTTTCTATTGTTTTTGGGTATGGTAATGTATGCTAACGAATTTGAAACAAAGGAAAAATAAAAATTAACTGAAATAAAAATTGACTGCAAAACAACAACAAACAACAACATGACAGTAATACCCCCTCAATTTCATTAGAGTCGCGGCAGTTCTTCATCAATTCATTCAGAACGAAACCAAACTGAAGTATATTCTTTCCCAAAATGTCCTTCACTGAGCGACCATTTAAAATACATTCTGGAAAATCCTGAGAGACACGCTGAGCGAAGCCAAAACTTCCCAAGACGGCAGTTATTGGAGGCACCTGGAAGAAAACAAGGGGATCAATAATAACGCTCTAAGCAAAATTGAAAGATATCAAGTAGTTGAGGTTTTCTTTAACACAATTTGGATGTGGATTTCTCTGTTCCCTGGTCCTGAGGAAGTTAAGTCAAATGACTCACTGACGTACACGGTCACAGCCGGTATACGTCATTCTTTCAGAATGTATTGTCTGTCATGTTAGAAATGTTATAAATCAAAAGAAAGATGCGAAAATCTTTTGGGCAAATAAACAATTACTTCAAACTTCAGGAGTCGCTGGCTTTATAAGACATCCTAATGCTTTTTAACTCACCCTAAATCCTTTGCCTATCAATACACTGGACGTTGTTATGTTGTTATGGACGACGCCTTTCTGTTCCAAGTGTTGTATGGCGGAGATCAAGTCCATAGCCACAGCGATAAGGGAGTCCAGATTTAAAACAATCCCGTCACTTATCAAATACTCCTCCAAAGTTGTGTTTGCAGAAAAGTCGAAACACAATAAACTATTAATGGGAAAAAAGAGAAAAAGGATGAAAAGAAAGAACAAGGGGGTATAAAAACCTCTTAATCTAATATATTTTTGGAAGATTAAAAATACATCATTTATAATAGACTTTCAAAAAAGTCCTTCGTCGGATTAACTTGTTATTAACACCTGTCAGGCTAAAAGAAAAGAAAGGTTTTAATTACAATGAACTTTTCTTGAATCTTGGGAATTCCCCTGCTTTCTTGTAGTTCACAACACTTTTTTCCGCTGCAAAAGGTAAAAGAAACTCTCAAATGGCAAATGCTATTCTTACTGACGATCAGTCGACGAGATTACAACTACAAGTAATAAGTACAATTAAAATCAGAGAAGCCTTAATGTGTTGGTCCAAGAATGTGTAGGACTGAGCACCCCATAATTTGATACGCCGAACCAAAGGTCGAATATTTTGGAAAATCGCTAAGGCAGGCATTAAGCTCGGAATTCAAGCTGTATGCTAAGTAAATGCTTTCGATAATACATTTTCTTACGTCGCCATTTATTCAACATATTGGAATAAGGCAAAGTATTTGTTATCTGCCTGGGGCGCATACTTGCAGAGTGCCAGCAGTATTTGATTATATTGGGATGCTCCAGTCCCTGTCTAAGCTCCTTTGCCAATTCCACTTCCTTTTTCCAGTTCTCTTCTTTTATCTTTGAGAAGTGCTTTATCAGTCGAACATATGAGTTCTCTTCACTTCCGGAACACGCCACAACAAATCCCTTAAAAACCAAATGAAAAAACCAAGATTAGATTTTCATGAATTGTGTAGGACAACGTCGCTTCTCGTTCCTACTGTAAAGGACCTTATAAATATAAATGCCAACGGTGAGGCATTTACCGTTGCCACAGATAACAATAATCTTTTATAAACAGTGTCATAATTTCCAAAAATTAACCTGTTTCAGACTCTACTAGTTTTGACCCAAGATAAGGACTTCAATAAAACTAGCCTGCCAAGGGGGCGGCTGTTTTGTTTTGTTTTGTTTTTTGTTTTTGTTGTGTTCGTTTGTGTTTCGTAAAGTAAGGGATACAGCTGCGCGAAAGCTGAACCGAGGTCAAACTAGAAAAATATGGGGGAGGGGGCGAGGGAAAGAAAACAGACACTCTCTTCAGTCTTTCTCTCGCACCTTCCTCCATCGTATTTTCGTATGACCTCGGTTCGGCTTTCGTGCGGCTCGTTTGACCTCTTAGTTTACGAAACACGAACGAAAAACATAATTATTAATTATACACGCGTACTCAATCAATCCAGAAACAAATCGTCGAATACGGTATAAAAAGTAAATATCCTGAAGAATACTCGACGGTTGATAAAGTAGCGAAGAAATTACGCTTCGTGTAGAATTCATCGCCTCTTTATTTCTTATCTAATCTCCAAGCAAACTCGATTAAAGGCTTTTAAGGGCGTCTTAATAAGAGTCAATAATGTCATTAAGTTGGAAAGCACTTATAGACAGGCAATAGAAATGTAGTAGGAATGTTTAGCCCCCTTTTTGTGCAGTACCACATTAACATTGAAGACGTTATGAAAATGCCAAGGAACTTCTTAAATCGGATGATGTCATGTTCAGTTTTTGCTATGATGATGGTGATAGTGTTGGAGGAAACATAAAATTGTAGTGTTACCAAAACCGATTCGCCTTTATCGCACTGACAGATGTGCGCTAGATGCCTGCCAAAAGTCAAAAAACCAGAAAAGGATACAAATTATTGTTCAATTTTAGGTAGCCAACAAAGTTGATTTGCAAAAAATATCAACAAAAAAGCATATTCTACTTTCTCTCAACCAATCGGCAAAATCCGTGACGTCGTGACCTTTTCAAGAAAAACGATTCATGCCAAACTACAGAAGTTGATGTCATCGACATTTACGAATTTCTTCACAAATGCACAAGATTTCTGCGCAAGAAAGGGGAATTAAATATCCCTATCAAACTACTGAAAAATATCAATATCTGGTTCAGAAGTGCTGATATGCGGTTGAAACGCTTTTGCAATCTTTACCAAGGGTCACCCCTTCGCCCCCATTAGCACTCATACATATGATTTTCTCTCGGCGTATCAGAAAACGTTACTACTACAAAAATTGTGTCACAAGGCCTACCACTGACAGAGAGGTTTCATCTGCAAATATGCCTGGTATTTCAACAAGTTTCAGCTCTGACTCGGGCCTCTCACGTTCTAGAATCTCGTCTGGTTGACAGTTGGATTTGTTTTGATTCGAGGTCGGCAACGGCTTCAACGGGACTCCCTTGCCTTTTGCTATTAACGTACAAGAAAAAATAATGTTGACCAAAAGTTCTTTTGCTAAGCTATCGTACGTACAATTTGTTTAAAGAGAAGGTATCGGGTTTTTGTGGTGGTTTATTTTGTAGACTATACTAATTTTAATAAGTCCTTGCGCATGCAGCCATTAGAACTGAATAGACACCGACATAGAGACGAAAAAAGATCACTTTATTAGGTAACAAACAGGTAAACAAAAGGTAGAGTAGTTTTCACTTTATTCAGACTTACAACCGCGGCCAAGTAGAAAATAAAATTAGAAAGAAACCAGAATACCCTGTTTGGACGTCAACTTGGTTATTAAATGGTTTCATGACATTTCCCTCTGGCTTACAGTGCATGTGTTAAGGGATGTGACGTATACCGGCAGTCTATTATGGGGAACTGAAAACTTGCCTCATTTTCGCTCAGTGATTTACTTTTTCAGCCATGGCTATATAGTACGCATTAACATAACGTACCTTTATCT